AAAAGACCAAGACAGCGGTGGACATGCGTGTGGGAGTGCACAGCGGGACGGTGCTGGGCGGCGTGCTGGGCCAGAAGCGTTGGCAGTACGACGTGTGGTCCACCGACGTCACTGTGGCCAACAAGATGGAGGCAGGTGGCATCCCTGGGTGAGCATCTCTCAGTGGGGATGAGACGTGGTGTCACCATCCCATAGCCATAAGGGTGGCCCCGGTTCACGGCACCTCGTGTCCCGCAGGCGTGTGCACATCTCACAGAGCACCATGGATTGCTTGAAGGGCGAGTTCGAGGTGGAGCCAGGCGAGGGTGGCTCTCGCTGCGAGTACCTGAAGGAGAAGGGCATTGTCACCTACCTCATCGTGGTGCCCAAGCAGCCTCTACGCAACGGCATCAATGGGGTGGTGAGTAGCGGCGTGGGCACCGGTGCCACCGCAGCAGACATCCTTGGCACAATGTGAGCCACCGCCTCGGCCTTGCAGAAGCTGTCACTGACCTCATCCCATGGAGGCTCCCCGCTGCTCATCAACACCAAGGAGCGCAACGGCAGTGCCAGCTTGGCGTGCACCAGCCCTGAGGAACCCGATGAGTCCGACGCCAGGGTGAGAGGCACCCTGGAGAATGGGGATGAGGATGGAGAGGTACGGTGCGTGGGAAGCACCCCATTCAGCTTGTATTTTGGAGACTACCATGATGGCCTCAGCTTTCCCACTGATGCTTTGCTTCGTGGCGCAGGCTGTGAACCCATCCTTCCCCAACCCACGGCGTCGGCTGCGGCTCCGGGACCTGGCTGAGCGGGTAATCGACGCATCGCAGAATGAACAGGAGCTCAACAAGCTGCTCAACGAGGCCCTGCTGGAGCGCGAGTCTGTCCAGGCGTGAGTCACCCAGCTGGCGGCGCGACCCAGCCCAGCCCTGTTGGGTGCTGATGGCCAATGTTGTTGGCAGGCTGAAGGGGAAGAGCACCTTCCGGCTCTCCATGCGCTTCATTGACCCTGAGATGGAGACGCGCTACTCAGTGGAGAAGGAGAAGCAGAGCGGTGCTGCTTTCAGCTGCTCCTGTGTTGTCCTTTTCTTCACTGCCTTGGTGGAGGTCTTCATCGACCCTTGGTATGTTGGGGAGGCATTGGGGATGGATTGCCCCAGCTCACCTTCAGCCCTGCAGGGCTTCAGGTCTGTCCCATCCTGGGTCTTTTTTGCGACAGGTTGGTGGCCAACTACGTGACCTTCGTGGTGGGGGAGATCCTGCTGCTCATCCTTACCCTCTGCTCACTGGCTGCCATTTTTCCCCGGGTGAGAGCGGGATGGGCAGCCTCAGGGGGTGGGGATACTGAGGATAGGTGAGGTTTGGGAGCTGCTCTTTCCCCCAACACCTTCCCCATCTATATTTTGTGCTATCCCATTATCCAATATTTGTTCTCTCTATGGCCACCGTGATTATGTGTCCCACCTGGGTGAAGTCCCTTGTCTTCTCCCGGCAGGTCTTCCCCAAAAAGCTCGTGGCCTTCTCCACCTGGATTGACAGGACTCGCTGGGCACGCAACACCTGGGCCATGGCTGCCATCATCATTGTCACCATGGCTGATATTGTGGATATGGTGAGACATGGGGCCAGCACAGGAACCCTCTCTGACCTTCTGTGTCCCAGCAGCCCATAATTGTGCACAGTCCCATGCGCACAGCCAATCATTAAATCAATGAGGGCTGCACTGGAGCTGGAGAGGATTTTAGCACCTGGCAGTTGGGGTGTCCTCCACTCTCTCACAAAGTATTCCAGCTGTTGGGGGGACATCATCATTCCCTGCCCCTCGTCCTCATCCTGCCCTCATGCCCCCAGCTCAGCTGTCAGCAGGACTACAGCGGGACAGGCAACGGGACGGTGGTGCCACCACGGCCAGGCGGCTGTTGGGAGCAGCCCAAGTACTACAGCTACATTGCCGTGCTGGCCCTGGTGGCCACCATCATGCTGGTGCAGGTCAGCCACATGGTCAAGCTGACTCTCATGGTGCTGATCACTGGGGCAGCCGGCACTGTCAACATCTACGCCTGGGAGCACATCTTCGATCAGTACGACCGGCGCCGCAGCCAGCAGAGCATGTAAGGGGTGGTAGGAGCATGGTGAGGGGGCATGGCCAAGCTCACCACCCACCTACACCTTGCCACATCCTCCAGCAGGTCCTCGCTGGTCCCCTCCAAGTACTCCATGACAGCCATGATCTTCATCGTGATGCTCAGCTTTTACTACTTCTCTCGCCACGTGAGTGACTCAGCCCCCTTAGGAGGCCCCTTTCTTCCTTCCTCTCTGTGATGCTATTACAGCCCCGAGCCTGATTTCTGCATGCTCCAAGAAAGCACGGTTGGTCCCCAACTGTGGAACCACCTCCAGCTCTTCTCCACGGAAGCCTAGGACTACATTGGCACCTCCATCTCCCCCATAAGATTTAGAGCAGGCAGCATCATGGTGGCTCCAGAGCCCATGCTTTCCCCATGAAGGTCCCATTTGCCCTTCACATGAGGTCTTATGTCTCCCATTACAGTTTCACCTTGCCCCATAGCCTCCATCCAAGCCTGGATCAGCCCCACACCAGCTGGCATGCTCCTAGTGCTGGTGAGGCCCTGCTGCACCCATCTCCCCCTGCCTGCAGGTAGAAAAGCTGGCCAGGACACTCTTCCTCTGGAAGATCGATGTCCACGACCAGAAGGAGCGGGTCTATGAGATGCGGCGCTGGAACGAGGCCCTTGTCACCAACATGCTGCCCGAGCACGTGGCCCGGCACTTCTTGGGCTCCAAGAAGCGGGACGAGGTGAGGGGGCACCCAGGAACACAGACCTTCTGTCCCACAAGCAGCATCCCCAAGAATCCTGGTTACACTTAGTGATTCAACCCATTTTTTTTTGTTCATGGCCTCTGTATCTGGAGAGGTTGCCAAAGACTCTAGTCAAACATCTTTGGTTGGACAGAGGAGATTTCTCGGCCTTGTAAAGGAGGACTGCTGAGCACCCTTATTTTTTTCAGATGGAGGAGGGTTGGGGTTGGAGGTTTTGGGCTTGCTGGAGGTGCAGGCACATCTCCATCTGATAGCCACATCTCCAGCTGACAGCCACTGTCCTTCCCCTCCCCAGGAGCTGTACAGCCAGTCCTACGATGAGATCGGCGTCATGTTTGCTTCTCTGCCCAACTTTGCTGACTTCTACACAGAGGAGAGCATCAACAACGGGGGCATCGAGTGCCTGCGGTTCCTCAACGAGATCATCTCTGACTTCGACGCAGTGAGTTGGGCTGGAGCTGGTCATGGGGGCAACACAGGGCTGTGGCCAATAGCCTCAGGTGCCTGAAGATCTATCCCCATGGCTCAGCTCCTGGACGAACCCCAATTCCGGTGTATCACCAAGATCAAAACCATCGGCAGCACCTACATGGCCGCGTCTGGAGTGACTCCTGATGCCAACGCCAACGGCTACAGCACCAAGGTAAGGGGTCCCTGGGGCAGGGGATGGTGGGCAAGGGGGGCATTCCTGACCCACTGCTCTTGCAGAAGGAGACCCTCTCGGATAAGGAACGCTGGCAGCATTTAGCTGACCTCGCCGACTTTGCCTTGGCCATGAAGGTGACACTGATGAACATCAACTACCAGTCCTTCAACAACTTCATGCTGCGCATAGGCAAGTCTGGGGACATGGGGCTCTCCCTTCCTTCCCTGTGAGCGGTGGGACCTCATGATGCCTGGGGTGACCTCATGCCCTGTCCCCCAGAGCAGACCCTGGGTGTGCTATCTGGATGTCACCAAGCACAGAGGTGACAGCCACCCTGCTCTTGCGCAGGCATGAACAAGGGAGCTGTGCTAGCAGGAGTCATTGGTGCCCGCAAGCCACACTATGACATCTGGGGCAACACAGTGAACGTGGCCAGCAGGATGGAGTCCACTGGTGTGATGGGGAACATACAGGTGGGACAGCACGACCTGGGCAACCAAGGGGAAAAACTGAGAATTATTCAGAAGCATTCACAGCCCTTGAAGGGCACTGTGCTTTGCACGGGAAGGGAAAGCACTGCCAGCAGTATTCAGCAGGGCTGGGAATGGTTGACGGCTCCTCCAAGCTGGGAACGGGGCAAGGGGGCTAAAAGCAGGGCACCTCAAGACAACGGACAGCCTGGTGGGTGGGTAAACCTGTTGCCCAAGCAGCACATGGGGGTCCACGCTACCTGTGCTGTGTGCTGGGCAGGGTCTCCCCAGCCTCCCACGGTGTCCATTTGTCCCTGCAGGTGGTAGAGGAGACGCACCTCATCCTGAAGGAGTACGGCTTCCGCTTTGTACGCCGTGGGGCCATCTACGTCAAGGGCAAAGGGGAGCTGCTCACTTTCTTCCTCAAGGGCCGGGAGAAGCAGGGCTCCTTCATCAACGGCTCATCCGTCACCTTGCCCCATCAGGTGGTGGACAGCTCTTGAGGGCCTGGCGCCTGCCAGCCAGCACAGCCACCGTCTGCCCAGCACCCAGAGGGGTGGCCAGGGGGGCCCAGTGCCCAGCACCACAGCCGGCGGGGACATCTGTCCCACTGAGGTCTGGATCTGAAACCAAACTTGAGAAATCGACCCCTTTGCACAACCCTTTCCAAGTCCCTGCTGGAAAGTTCCTTTGCTCCATCGTGCCTGCACACAAGCTCACAGCCCTCAGTGGGTGTGGGGTTGGGGCTGCCTTTCCCCAGGCACCCCAGGCTTTGCAGGGGGGGGCAGCAGTATGGCATCCAAGTAGCATTGTGGGCCCCAGCTGCCATGCACTCAGCACAAGGAGATCCAAACTCAGGGTCGGATGGAAAGACACGTCTCTCCTACGCACAGGAGCATCCGGGCTTTGCTGTTAGTCAATACCGAGTTCATCCTTGTCACAAACAACACAGTTAGGAGATCGGGGAGAGAGAGTGCAGTACCACCTTGGGCTCAGAGAAAAAGAAAAAAAAACACAGAATATTGCGTATTTCAGATATATAAATATATATACATAAGAGTACAGATTGACATTTATATTTTTAACTGTGCCTGTTCGCCCCCCCATGCACGCTGTGGTCAGCTGCTGTCACTGCTTGATGGGAAAGAGGACCTGGGACTGGCTGAGAAGGGACTGAGTTATTCAGCGTGACACTGCCAGGGCCAGGGGGGAAGGGAGGCACACAGAGTGTAATTATGCCATTAGTTTCTTGAATAGAAAGCAGTTGAATTTCAAAGCCTGGTTCTGCGTCTGCTGTGTTCTGGGGTTGTGGGGATACTGAGAAGGGCTTCACCACCTCTTTGAGGGGATACTGGGTTTGGAGGGGCTCCCAAAGGGGAGATTGATGCCTCTGGATGGCTTTTGCTCCTTTCTCTCGTCGCAGAGTATCAAAACACTGGAAATCACAGAAAGAATGATACAAGATTTTGATCCCTACCCCATTACTCAATTCCCAGGGTCATCAGGGAATTTTTCCTGGAGCTGCAACATCCGAACACCAGAGGTTATATATAAAAAGGTTGGTTTGGACAAAGCTTAAGCTACAGAGACAATTTAAAAACAAACTGTGAAGTTTGCACATGCAGTGTTGGCGCAAAAACGGGGCAGGAGAAAATCCTGATGTCCCAGCCATCTGGTGTAAGTCTAGAAAAAAAAATAATCAATAGGAGATTCTTAAAAATACCACAGTAAAAGTTCTGTGTTACTGAAATTAACACATTGAAAGAGTGCTCCTAAAATACAGCAAGCTTTCAAGATCCGATCCAAACTTGGAGGAAGCACAAAGATGGGATGCCAGGAAAGTTCTGCTACGACAGGAAGAAAACAGGATGTCCAAAGCCACCACTGGTGTGAAATCTTCTGGAAAACTCACTGCTAATGTGCTGGGGGAGTTAATGCAGCCCACGTGAGGGCACAGCCTGCTGCTGGCAAAACGAAGCCTCACCTCTGTCCAGGGAAGGTTCAGTGATTGCCATAACAATCCAGGTTGTCCTCCAGCCTGTACCACTTTCTAACATGAAGTCCTTTCCTGGCTGTTAGAAGGAGGGCACAGATTACTCCGCTTGCTCCCTGCTGAGTTCTGCTGCCTGGTGAGCTGTAGGGTTCTTGTTCCAGAAGGTTTTCTGAGCTGTTGATGTTTTAATATAGCTTCTCCTTCTAATTGTGAGACATCCTCCATGACTGTGGAGCTCCGGGGCACCAAACACTGCGATACATCACGAGCAGGAATTAAATGACAAGCGAGAAGCAGAGTGCTGAGGAAAGATTACCTGCAATAGACACCCCAAATCATCAAGGAAATATTGCTTTCAAGATCTAAATTGGGCCAATTGCTCCTCTGGGGGGTTGCCAGCAGCAGTGCCGCAGTCCATGGCAAACATTTGCATTTTGAGAGCATTCCCCACAGGCAGAAGAAGTCAGGAGAGGCACGTTACTGAGGAGTCAAGGTAGCTTACGGTGCTCAGTCCTGGCTTTCTTTAGCATTGATGATAAAGTCGAAGGCTTTGTGCAGAGCTATCTGTCGAAAAGCGTTTGAGTGAGCTGCTGCCATCTTTGCTAGCAATGGAAGAGTGCCAGCTAGGAGACAGAAGTAGACGCATCAGTGGGGAGAGGAACACAGTTTTACCAGCATAAAACTATTTGCTTCTCATTCTTCCCTTTCCCCTAGGGTGTTTCCTCCCTGGTCACACTTTTTCTTCTCATAACCCTTCTTTCTCCTTCCTAACCCTGCATCTCCCCCAGGGGAACCGAACTGCTAGAGAGCACAAACAGCTCAAGAAACACTGAGAGCTGAAGGGCTGCTCGTGAGGGGACAACGGTGTTGGAGCACCACAGCTACCCAGCTGCCTTATCAGCTCGAAAGACACTGATGTTTTTGAGCAAGGGCAGAACTTCACCTATAAAGGGGCCATTTCTGTGGGGAAAGGAAAGGAGGAGCCATTGACACAGTGCAAAATTCTTCCTGCAGCCTAACTGCAACCCAAGGAGTGTCACAGCTGGGTTCTGCTACCAGAAGGAGGCCTCAGACCATGACTGCTGGCAGAATGATTACAAGCCCGAGCTGCTCTGCTCAGAGCTCCACCTACCTTTGCAGCCTAGCCAGCCCACATGGGCAGGTGAATGGGATGCAAGGTGGCTCAGGTGGGCCCACAGCTCTGCACAGCCATGAGGAAGAGATGGGAAAATGCCTCCTCAGCTCAGCTGGGCACTTGCAGGAATTAGTCATAAAACAGCACAGATCAGGATTAAGCCATGCCATATTGCTAAGGCTGCAGAAGACACTCAGTATCAGCCAGTCTGTACAACATGAGGAGAATCATTCAAAAGATAGGGGAATAAGTGGTATCAGGAAAGGTCTCCAGGCAGAGATCTTTGTTAGGAGCATTTCACAATATCACTGGCACTTTGGAAGAGGTTGTAAATCTCCCTCCTGTCTCCATCTATGCTGCTGTATGGCAGGATGTGCCAGCATACCTGATGGTACAACGTGGCCAATTAGGGCCTGGCTGCAGAGTGTGAAACATCCCAACAACAGGCCTCAGTGTTCACATTAATCATTTCACTAATTGCACTGAAAGAAATTTCTCATGATAATAAGATCTTATCTTATTTCCCTGCCACTGACCCCCAAGCTACAGAAAAGATCTTTCCTCCCAAAGAAATATATGACAGCATGCTTCTTTCTGTCCCCAAACTGATCTAGAGAAAACCTCATCCACTGCAGTATGGCCTGCCCTCCCCACACACCCAGACACCTGCACTGCCCACTTACGTGTACAAGAAATGATGGCTTCAGTAGGGAGGCTGCAACAGAGGTCTCCATAAAGCAGCCTCACGTTGAATGGAAAGGTCTTGCTGTCACTTGACACGGTGTAATTAAAGACCAGCAAGTTACACAAAGAGTTCCTCTGCAGAGTTCCTTCTATGTGGTCTGAAAAGTGCTCCTGAAGGGACAAAAACAATGTCTGAAAGACAAAGCTAAGGCAGGAGTGCATCAGCGTGGGGCTGGGAGCTAACAAAGGACAGTGCCCCCACCCCCTGCACCAGGCTGGCATGCCCTGATGTGGCTGTACCTTGAGGAAAAGTCTGAAATAAACAAGTGCTCATTCACATCTTTAAGTCACATCTTCCAGAGGCATTTTACAAAAGCACAGCTCCTTCAGATTAGGGACCTCAGAGGAAGAGGACAGCTGCACTTGGCTGTGTATTTTAAACAAGCCACAAGACATCCAAGTACACACATACCAATGACACAGGCAATGGAGTTTATAGTCATGCAGTCACTTGCTGTGCTCTGAAAACCAGAATGGTGAGCGCTCCATGTAAAGAAAACCACTCAGATTTCCCCCAGCACTCCAGAGCTGTGCAAACTCATTAACCTTTGGCAGATAAAAGGCAAAAAGGTGGGCAAGCATTGTTGCTGTGACCACTGGTACCTCCAACTGGTCTGCCTGGTGCCTCCGCCCAACGTAAGCATTCAGGTGCTCCCACAGGACGGACAGGAAGCGCCTGATGTCCGTCTGCAGGTACTTCTTGGCTATCTGCTCCAGTGGGATGAAGACGGGGACAGAGTGGCGTTGAATCTTCACCTCTGGCTTGATGAGGAGGTCCACGTAATAGGAATCCAGGTAGGTGCCTTCATAAGCAGTGCTGATGCAGAAACACACTCCCTGCTTGGTCAGCTTCCCACTGATCCCTTGGGTGCAGAGAGAGAGGTTTTACTGAGCACTAATAGAAACCTGTCACCTCAAGGAAGTTTTGCTGGGACAGCACAGGCTGCAGGGGCTGTATGCTCTCAGCATGGCGGCCTGAGGAGGTCTCTGGGAGGATTAAGGACTTGCAAGAGTTCAGGGACATAAAACACAGCAGCTTTTTAGAAAAGGGACATCAGACAAATTCAAGCAGATTAAATTGTCACTAACTGAGCTACGCTGTGGAACTTCAAACTCAGTCCTGGCTCCCACGGTGCAGAACAGGCTGCCCTAGGTGAAAGAAAACTGCCCCATAAAGAGTGGCAGAAGGGCTCATGGGCTCAACCCAACCTCACCAACATCAGATTTGTATTTCCACACTGTCCTTCCTTCCAGTGACTGGAACAGAGTGCAAAGGTGACTTGCATTGGAAACAAATAAAGTAATACATTAAACCAAGCTCAGGAATAGCTGAAAAGAGGGTGCTGGCATTCTAAGTTTGCTTGGAAGACCCAGACCCTTGAATATTTAACCTAATGCCCAAAGATTTTAAAACTAAGGCATTCACATGCTTCCTCAAATCTAGATCTTAGTCCAAATGATGCAGCTCAGTAAGCAAGAGTTTCTGCAAAATCCCAGAAGCCTTCCCAGAGAGGCAGAGAATTGCAGCATTACTACTCTTCCTATGCTTTCAGACTGAAGGCTTCAAGCACAACACAAGCAACATTAATAGGGAAATTGCACGTGACATCAAATTCATCATTCAAAATTTAGCACCCCAAAAATGCAGCCAGGACTCACACAAGCCTTGAGGCATTACCTGTGAGGTAAAAGACTTGCAGCATGGCCTTAATGCTCTTCACTTTCCACTCCAGAACAGTCTGGGCACTGGGCCGTGCTGGATCTGTCACTACTCCTTCCTTGTCAAGAAGCTACAAAAGCCAAAAGATGAGACAGGTCAGGAACTGACGACACCAAACACGTCACCTGCAGGGAACACACTCGAGCTACAGAGAAATAACCCAGCTCTGAGAAATGTGAGGCAGCACTTCAAGCTGAAAAAGGGAAAAAGAGTTCATAAATGGCCACACAACCTCAAGCATAAAGATCCAGCAGTCTTGGACAACACTGTACTGAGAACTGGGGATGCCAGAACTGTACATTACTTAAAAAGAGAAAATAAATTAAGAACCTCAGTAAATCCATGCTGTGAGAGCAGGAGCATAGCAGAGCCCCTCTGTCAGATCTCTGCAGTAAGCCCTTTCTCACCCTCTTCTCCTGCAGCTCCACTTTAGCCCGAAGCTCATCCCTCCGGGTTCTCAGCTCCTGCACTCTGGCTTTCAGTCTGTTGAGCTTCTTTTCTTGCTGCTCCTTCTCTTCTTGCTTCAGGCCTAACTCATGAGCCTGTGCCTCCAGCATTTCCAGATAACCCAACACCCCTGCAAGGAACAGCAACACATGCTCAGAAAATCCAGCTGTCATTAGTAGGCACCTGCAGTGTGATCCAAACCAAAGTTGGCCCAGTATAGTTACTTAAAGAAATTATGTGCAATTCCTCAGGGGCAGAGGACAGGCAAAGACCTGCTCTAGAGAATTTTAAACACCAAGACTAAATGCCAGTAGGCAACAAGGACCAGGCATTTCCCATGTTAGCTAGCTAACATCCTGAGAAGCAGAGTAAGCTACCAAATACACAGCCCTGCACAGATCTGCAACCTCTAGTTTCACTTCTAATCAAGAGCAGCTTGTTTGGTGTGCCTATACTCTAAATTTGGGACACATTACAAGCCAGGGTGTCACTCCTGGTCCCAACCTCCTGTGAAAGAACATACTTGGACAAAATCATAGAATTAACCAGGCTGGAAAAGACCTCTAAGACCACCAAGTTCAACCCCAACCCATCCCACCATGTCCACTGACCACATTCCTCAGTGCCACATCCCTACAGTTCTGGAACACCTCCAGGGATGGTGACCCCATTACCTCCCTGGGCAGCTGCGCCACTGCATCACTGCTCCTTTGGAGAAGAAACGTTTCCTAATACCAACCTGAACCTTCCCTGGTCCTATCGCTGTTACCTGGGAGCAGAGGACAATCCCCATCTCAACACAGCTGCCTTTCAGGGAGTTGGAGAGAACTATAAGGTCTCCCCTGGGCCCCCTTTGCTCCAGACTGAACTCTGTCCCAAGTCTGTAGCACTGCATATCATGCAGAAAGTGACTTTTACAAGCTCACCATCTCCTGAATACACCTTCCCTCCTTCCACCTTCCCCTGTGCAAGTGGGACTGCAGACATTCGCCCTCCTCCATCCTGGGAGGCAGCGGTGAGAGATCTACCATGCATGGCATTTTCCTTCCCATCACCGTCTCGTCCTTCCTCCATGAAGCCTGGGGGCAGGTCTGTCTCCAGGGCTGGCCTCACACAGGAACAGTCCTGAGGGATGAAATAGCTCGTTATAAACTTCCATCCCTTTATATACCCTCATACATCCCCATACCCTCATACACCCTTTTACACCAGCCCCAAGGAGGTGACAGGAACCCCTCGGACTGTCCCCATATGGGAATAGGGAGGTGACAGGAGAACTAGGGACCTCATAAAGGGAGAGACGGGAGGATAAGGAGGGGAAGCAGGGCCTGGGGATTCCCACTGAGGGGTCAGTGGGAAAGAGCAGCGTGGCCTCCTGAGGACAGCAAACCCCCAGGGAGACGGGGGGAGAGAGCGTGAGCCGAGCAGCCTAAGGACCCCTCACGAGGAAGACCTGTGGGGTGAAAGAACGCGTGAACCCCCACCGATAGAGGATCGGGGAGCCAGGACGCCCCGATCGCTGCCAAGCCGCAGGGCCCCGCTCTCACCTCAGCGCTCAAACTTCGCGCTCCGACGCCACCGGAACTACGTCACCACCGCGCCCTCACGTTTGCCGTACAACAACATGGCGGCGCCCGTACCTCTCAACACTCGGCATGCGCGACCACGCCTCCCCGTACAGCAGCATGGCGGCGCCCGGGACGGCGGCAGGAGCGGCGACGGCTGCGCTGGTGCAGTACGTGGTGCTGCGGGGAGACTTGGCCCGCTCGTGGTCGCTGGGTGCGGTAGTGGCCCAGGGGTGCCACGCAGCGCTGGCCGCCGCGCACGCGCACTGGCAGCACCCCGACACCCGCGCCTACTTATCGGAGGGCGGCGCCATGCGCACCGTGGTGCTGGAGGTGCGCGGGGCATGGCGGGAACTCTGCGCTGAGGGGAGCGGGTGGCGGCCATTTTGGGGCGGGGTCTTTTCTCGGCTCTGGGGCCCCCGAAGTCCTTTATCTGCGTGGCTGTGCTCAGTTATTTTCCTGGCTTGTGTCGGTAATATTGCGTTCCTCTGTACTTGGCACTAGTGAGGCCACACCTCGAGTGCTGTGTTCTCACTGTGAGAAGGACAGTGAGGCCCTGGAGCGCGTGTAGAGAAGGGCAGAGAAGCTGTGAGGGGTCTGCAGCACAGGTGTGATGGGGAGCTGCTCAGGGCGCTGCGGTGGGTCAGTCAGGAGCAGAGGAGCTCGGGGGAGACGTTGGCACATATATGCACTCATTTTCAAGGCCTCATATAGGTGTTAATGTCCCTTTGGGCATGGCCAGTGATATTTAGGGTGGTCGAGTGCCCACCTACTTCTTCCCCTTTTTCACAATCATCTTCATCACCTAAAATTGTGACTCACTTTCATTCACTTTTCCCCAGCTTGGAAGATTTCCATTGCCTATTAGGCCATAGGGAGCCACTTTTTAGAAACAATGTATGTGGAACCTGAGGAAAATGTCCTTGCACGTTTTGAGGCAAAAGATAAAAGTGTTCTATTTTGACTCCGGTACTTCTCGTAAGGCAAAATCACTGAGGCAGAAGATAAAAGTATTCTATTATGTCTCCAGTGCACAGTTTTTGAGGAAAAACAAGACAGTTCACCCACTGAAGCTGAAATGGAAAGAACTATCACTTATGGATTCCTTTTGCTGAACAAAGATATTGCTTCTTAAAACTAAGGTACCAATCCCTTCTACTAAGCAAACCAGCCTATATTAGGTTGACAATTGGGCTTGATGCCCTTAGTGGTCTTCCCAACCAGAACGATACAATGATTTTGCCCCCTGATGTGCAGAACCAAACTGTATAACCTGAATGAGGCTATCATAGAATGGCCTGGGTTGAAAAGGGCCACAATGCTCATCCAGTTTCAACCTTGAGATAGTAAGCTAAAGAATACAAGATGTAAGGGGTCCATAACATCGCTTGGTTTTGCTAACTCAAAAGGAAGTTGCAAATAGCATCGCTTAGTTTAACCTTCTGCTAACTCAAGGGGAATTTATTGCTTAGTCTAACCTTTTGCTGGCCCAAGCATATTCTAAAAAAGGGAGCCCTCTCAAGTCAGTAGAAAAGGGGCCCCTAAGAAAACAATGGAAAGGGATGATAAGCAGGATAAGAAATTGCTGAGGCATGCAGGGCAGGAGAAGAGCTCAGAACTGGGACAAAGGTCGGAAGGACATGGCGAGGAAGACATCTGACTTCATCCCAGAACGACCACCAAATGGGGAGGAAGATGTCAAGCCTTCATCCAACGGAAGCTACTGCGCATGCACTGGGGAGGGGGACAGTATGTAAATGAATTCCTGGAAAAGTAATGAATATGTCAATGGGTCTTAGGTAATACTGCTGGGTATGTATGGCTTGGCTTATAAGTGTATCAAGACCCCACTCTCTGATGTGCAAGGTAGGAGGAGCGATCCCCCTTGCACCCAGCGTGTGGCACAGTGCTGAAATAAAACGTATCTGCTCTTATAACCTGATGTGGGTTAGAGAGTTTGATTCCGCAAATCAACCCCCTGCTGTGTGCAGGTCACCAACCAGCAGCCCAGGCTGCCCAGAGCCACATCCAGCCTGGCCTTGAATGCCTGAGGGATGGGGCATCCACAGCCTCCTTGGGCAACCTGTTCCAGTGCCTCACCACCCTCTGGGGGAAAAACTTCCTCTTAAGATCTAACCTAAACCTCCCCATTTAAAACCATTCCCCCTTGTAATGTAAGACTGGCTATGAAGCAGTATGTGTTTATTCAGCACTGCGCATGCACCAGGTGAAAGGGGGATTGCTTCTAGCTTGCACACTGACAGGCAAAAGCTCGTTACGTGTAAAGGTCAAGCTCACACATATTCAACAGAGTTCCTGGAGAAATCCTTTGCATATGGCCCTGATTCCTTGCCCTTGCATAAGCTATAGGGGGCTTCTCCTGGTGGTTGTAGGTAGATGAGGGCTCGTAGTCTTCCTCACTGTCAACTGTTAACCATCCCACGAGGGGCTACCCTAACCGATTTCAGCCCGTCCTGCAGTTTCCCTTATCCTTGCCTAAGGCTGTGAAGAGTCATACCAAGTTTCTCTTATCTTACTTTTGCAACACCCATATGTTTGAAACTTCCTTTATCTTTGTTCACATTCTGTTCACTTAACTTACTTCTGTAACCACTTCATGCCTCAATTCCCCCCCTTTTCTTTGATCTAGCAGAGACACCTATCTGCTAGACTGTCCCATTCCTCTTGAATGATTACTGAAAGTAGGCCCTGCTTTCTACCTTTTGTCTCAGTTTGTGCCTCTTCCATTTTTCCTATTCCTTCCCTGTGTTCTGACATAAGCACACTGAACACCTTAACACTAAAGGTGTGAAAGCTACCACAGAGAGTAGAGCAATGCTTGCTAAGAAAAGTTGCTTCAGCCATCTGAAATTTGGTAGCCAGTTAGTAAGTCTGTCCCATAGTTCAGAGGCAGCTGTTCCCCAGTCGGTATTATCCTTGCTCACTTCATGTAGGGCTTTTGTTTGCTCCAAGATACTGTCTAGATCTCTTTTGACCTTCCAAACTTCACTTATGTAGGCACAACAGCTTTGATTTATTATGGAGCATACTCTCCCTTCCTTTGCAGTCAACAAATCCAGCGTCATTCTATTCTGTAGTACGACTTTAGATAGGGAGGACATCTCCTCTTGCCTGCGGAGTCTTTACTTAACATATTGGGGATTCCTGCTCTCCTTGTATTCTGATATTGGCCCCATGTAGTTCTCCCTATATCTGATGGGAGTTCTTTAGGATGGATGCTCATAGGAGGTGCTAAAAATCCCCCAATACAAACTCCTTTCCAATTTATTGGCACAGATTTTCAAGCTCTCTCTCGTCCCCACACAGCCACCAGAAGCCCTTCATAACGTAAATTTGGAAATGTAAGATTGATCCAAGGTAGGTTGAATTTTGGTCCTAGAATAATAGTGCTGTTAACAGTAGCTTCCTCACCTGCACCTGAGTAAATGGATCCCTTTGACTGCTTTTATGTTTGTACTGAGCAGACCAGTTTAGTGACAGGATCCCAAACCATGGTAGTTCCATCCTGCCTTTGGTAGTCATGCACAGACCCAGCAATCTGGTAAGTTTAAAGTTTTAGAAAAGTTACTAAAAAAGGACTTCTCTCCCTAGGCTAAAACACCTCCTGTGTACACTGAGACAAAGCAAATCAGCAAATGATTCCTCTTCTCTTTATGACTTTAACTTTCGACGGTGCACTTTCCTTGACAGACCAAGTGGTTCCTCAGCATTTTGGAATAACCTCCTGTAACAACACTTTAGTTACCCCACGTGCCTTATTAGTTCTACAAGGGAATGCCTCCGGCCACTGTGAAAAGGTATCAGTACCAACATACAGCGATACCCCCCTTTTTTGGGGCTCCCTCCTGAGAGTCTCCACCGACCCCCAAGGCAAGAATTAAATTCCCTTATCTTGGTCCTTGCACGAAGTTACTGGGTCTGCAGGGATCAATGCCGTGCCTGCCTGCCTCTTGGCTTACACAGATGCTGTCCTTTGTGTAACAGTCTCCATTTCCTATCGGCATCCCAAGGAGTCACCTCGCCACCCAGACAGGACCGCTGAAGTCAGCGGGGTGCAGCCATCCTGTCCAGGGCAGTAGGGGGACCCCCAAAGAGGCGATAATAATTCCAGTCGAGCCCCCAGATTGTTGGAAATATCCAAATAATTTTGTCAGGACGGCATCTCTGATAAAAGCAGATTTTATTCGCGATTGCAATGGCGGGCATCTAGCAAATAGAAGCAACCCTGATGACACAATGACTGCTTTTCGTACCTCGTTTCCCCCCTTGCCTCCCTCCTTCCCCTGTTTCCCCATTGGCTGGGTACTCCAGGTTTACAATCTTATCAAACCTTAATTGCTTGCTATACAGCTATACAGCTAGCTTATACATGTACGTTGTTACTTATTTAACTTCTCCAATTCTCTATTACCCGAGTCATCACAGAATCACAAGGTTGGAAACGCCCTGCAAGATCATCTAGTCCAACCACCCTCCCATTCCTATCAGTGCCACAAGCACTAAACCACATCTCGTAGCTCCTCATCCAGGAGCCTCTTGAACACTGCCAGGGATGGCGACTCCACCACCTCCCTGGGCAGCCATTCCAGTGCCTGACCACCCTCTGAGAGAAAAAGTTTCTCCTCATATCCAACCTAAACCTCCTCTGGTACAACTTCTGGCCGTTTCCTCGGGTCCTACTATTTGCCTGGGAGAAGAGGCCAGACCCTTTTGCACCACAACCTGTCTTCAGGAAGTTGTAGAGTGCAATGAGGTCTCCCCTGAGCCTCCTCTTCTCCACACTGAACAATCCCAGCTCCCTCAGCCGCTCCTCGTAAAACTTGTGCTCCAGACCCCTCACCAGTTTCGTTGCCCTTCTCTGGACACGCTCCAGGGCCTCAATGTCTTTCTTGTAGTGAGGGGCCCAAAACTGAACACAGTACTCGAGGTGCGGCCTCACCAGTGCTGAGTACAGGGGGATGATCACCTCCCTGCTCCTGCTGGCCACACTATTTCTAATGCAGGCCAGGATGCCTTTGGCCCTCTTGGCCACTTGGGCACACTGTCGGCTCATGTTCACCCGAGCATCAACCAACACCCCCAGGTCCCTTTCCTCTTCACAGTCATCCAACCACTCATCCCCAAGCCTGTAACACTGCATGGGGTTGTTGTGGCCAAAGTGCAGAACCCGACACTTGGCCTTGTTAAACCTCATCCCATTCATCTCAGCCCAGCGATCCAGCTTATCTAGATCCCTCTGCAGGGCCTCCCTGCCCTCAGGCAGATCGACACCACCTCCCAACTTGGTGTCATCTGCAAACTTACTCAGGGTACACTCAATCCTTTCATCTAAGTTGTCAATGAAGATGTTAAACAGGATGGGCCCCAGTACCGACCCCTGGGGGACACCACTTGTAACAGGTCTCCAGCTGGACTTCACTCCATTGACCACCACCCGTTGAGCACGGCCCTCCAGCCAGTTCCTTATCCAACAGAGGGTAAAACTGTCCAAGCCACGGGCAGCCAGTTTCTGCAGAAGGATACTGTGAGAGACCATGTCAAAGGCTTTGCTGAAGTCTAGGTAGACTACATCAACTGCCTTTACCTCATCTACCAGTCTGGTCACCCAGTCGTAGAAGGAGATGAGGTTGGTCAAACACGACCTGCCTTTCATGAACCCGTGCTGGCTGGGCCTGATCCCATGAACGTCACGCACGAGCCATGTGATCTCTCCCAGGAGGATTTGTTCCATGACCTTCCCTGGCACTGATGTCAGGCTGACAGGCCTGTAGTTCCCAGGATCCTCCTTACGGCCCTTCTTGTAGATGGGAGTCACATCAGCAAGCCTCCAATCCTCTGGAACCTCTCCAGTCAACCAGGAGCGCTGGTAGCTGAGAGCGGCTTAGCAATCACTCCCGCCAACTCCCTCAGCACCCTAGGATGAAGCCCATCCGGTCCCATGGATTGTGATTGTCCAGATGGAGGAGGAGCTCTCTAACTGTTTCCACCTCAATCTCCGGGGAGACATGCTGCATGTCAGCCCAGATATCCAGATCAGGGCACAAAGTGCCCTGAAGATAGCTGGTCTGACTATTAAAGGCAGATGTAAAGAAGGCGTTGAGGACCTCAGCCTTCTCCTTGTCATCTGTGGTCACATGCCCCGCCGCATCAATTAAAGGATAGAGATTATCCTTGGTTTTTCTCTTGCCATTGATATATTTGTAAAAGGATTTCTTATTCTGCTTTACTGCAGTGGCCAATCTAAGTTCAAGATGGGCTTTCGCCTTCCGGACTTCCTCCCTGCATACCTTAGCAACTTCCTTGTAATCTCCCCTACCAGCCTGTCCCCTCTTCCAGAGGACATAGACTCTCTTTTTCTTCCTGAGTCTTGACAGTAATTCCCGGCTCATCCACACCGGTCTTCTCCCCCTACGGCTCGCCTTACGGTATTCAGGGACAGCCTGGTTTTGCGCCTTTAAGATTTCCACCTTGAGGAGCGTCCAGGCTTCCTGGACCCCTTTACCCTTAAGGAGCGACTCCCAAGGGACCCGTGCTACAAGCGTCCTGAGCAGGTCAGAGTCCGCCCTCTGGAAGTTCAAGATAGCAGTTTTGGTAGTCACCCTTCTGACATCTCCAAGAATAGAGAACTCTACAATTTCATGGTCGCTCTGCCCTAGACAGTCTCCAACCTTCACATCACCTACCAGACCTTCTCTGTTAGCAAAGAGCAGGTCGAGCAGGGCACCACCCCTGGTAGGCTCTCGTACCAGCTGTGTAAGGAAGCTATCTTCCACACACTCTAGAAACCTCTTGGACTGCTTTCTTTGCGCCATGTTATATTTCCAACATATATCAGGGAAGTTGAAATCCCCCACAGGAATGAGTGCTGGTGATCGCACGACTTCCACAAGCTGCTCGTAAAATGCTTCATCCATCTCCTCATCCTGATTTGGTGGTCTATAACAGACTCCAATTACGATGTCTTCCCTACAGGCCTTCCCCCTGATCCTCACCCATAGACACTCCACTTTATCATTTGCAATCTCAAGCTCTTCAACATCAAAACAGTCCTTAATATAAGGGGCCACACCACCGCCCTTCCTTCCTTGTCTATCCCTTCTGAAGAGTTTATAGCCATCAATCTCAACACTCCAGTCATGGGAGCAGTCCCACCATGTTTCAGTAACAGCAGCTAGATCGTAGTTAGTCTTGTCTGCCCAGCACCGAATATTAGTAAGGCTAAGGCTGGACAGACAGGAGCTGCAGTCTTTGTAAACCTACAGAGATCAGGAATTGGGTAAACCAGGGCCACTCACATAAGGGCTATGTATACTAAACTTAGAAAAACAATAAGGGAAGACCAGGGGGACATGTTGACCTCTTTGCAGTCAGGACCAAAGGATCTGTGCAAACATAAGGGAAAGAACATCCTAAAGCTGTTCTGGTTTTGAGCAGTGTGAATGGGGGGCCATTGTAATGTAAAAAGGTCAGACCGAGGAAGACCTCTGACTTCATCCCCATGACCACCAGGTGGAGACCCTCGCTGCGAACTGCACACGCGTCAGAGGGGGGGACAGCATGTAAATGAGGTCCTGGAAAAACCATGAATATACAGATGAGCTCCAAGGAATTTTGTGAATATGTGTAAGATCTGCTTATAAATCTGTGACGCTTTTGCTTGTTGGTGTGCAAGGAAGTTGGAATGAGCCCCCTTGCACCCGACGTTTGCACATTTGCAGAATAAATCATACCTGCTTTATAACCTGATCTCCAGGTTATAGAGTTTGATTCTGAATCTACTTAAGCTCTATGATTACAACATACTGTGCCTGTATTTTGAGCATGCATTCCTGGGCAAGGTTCATCTAAAGGATAAGTGATGAAAACTATCAAAGGCCCCCAGAAAGAACTAAAAGAGCTGTGGCAGCGGAGACCATAGAATAAAAATTCTTGTACTGTTCTAATGCAGAAACAACATTTGATTCCCACACTACCGCTAAGCAAACCAACCTGTATCAGGTTGACAGTTGGTCTTGATGCCCTTAGCAGCCTTCCCAACCAGAATGATACTATGATTTTGTCCCCCAGCTCTTATTAACAGCGGAGGTTGCTGTGACCCAGGTGCAGACCTTGCATGTGGTGTTGCTGAACCTCATGAGGTTCTCCTGGCGCCACCCCTCAGCCTGTCTGGGTCTCTCAGGAGAGAACTGAAAGAACTGGAGCTAAGAAACGTAGCAGCCAAGTTTTGGTACCGCTATGCAGGTATTCTTTGTTAGCAACACTGGGAAGCACTGGGGATAATTCCATTGTATGAGGTTCTAAGATGACATGATTCAGAGCTCGTTGTATTTCCGCAGTGTCAGAAATGTCTGAGATAATTTTTAGGAGACAGGAGCTCTGGTGAAGATTGCAGTGGTGGGCATCCAGCCAACAGGAGCTCACCTATGGACACAATGTGACAGCTTTTATACCTTGTCTCCCCAAAGCTTCCCCCCTCCCCTGTTCTCCCATTCTCTGGGTACTTCAGGTTCACAATCTTCCTGAACGTTTGCATTTGTGAATCACATTCTGACACTTGTTAACTCATAGCCTATCTTGTCGCCGTTCTGTTGTTTCCAAGATGTCTCAGTCCTCTCCTTATCGTACTGACAGGGTGATTCTCTCCGAGGCCCCTTCCACTCTGTGCAAAGGACGCTGCCTTTGTTCAACAAAGAGCACTGGGGGGTTGTCAGGTCTTCCCTTTGCTTCTTGAGGCAGGCACCTTGCAACTTGTGTCAATCTCTTGTGCAGGACGTTCTTGCAATGTGTATGAGCATGCAGCAAGACATTACATATATTCATACTGACTAAACATAAATGGTTGCTAACTATACATGTATATTGCTAATTATTTAACTTCTCCTCCTTAAATTTTCTATCACTCAGGTCTTGTCTGTCCAGCACCAAAAATTAGTAGTCTTCCAACATAACGAGCCTATTGATATCCTTGTCCTGTTTTTGTTTTTGCTTTGTAAAGGCGTTATCACACTGTTTAGGAGTGGGATGTTTAACTTCCTCAGCTCAAGGCTCACAAGTATTCCAGATGGCTGGACAGACAAGAGCTGCAGTCTTTGTATCTATACATTACCCCATCTACCTCATCTCTGTGACTCAGGTGTGTATGCCCACTCAGTTTGCTCCTTTCCTTCTATATCATTAATTAAATCCCTATCCTCTCTAGAATACTTTGCAGGTTCTGATTGAGGTTTACAGATTTGAAGTTTACTGTCTGGAATTGAAGTTTGTACAGCGATTTCTATTCCTTCAGCTGCCTGTTTTGCCACCTGATCCACCATCTTATTTCCAGTCTCCTGTACAGTGTCACCTTTCTGATGTCCCCTGCAGTATCTATTAGCCACTCTGGTAGATTTAGAGCTTCCCACAGATGCAGGACTTCCTTGGCATGCTTAATTTATTTCCCTTGTGCTGTGAGCAATCCTTGCTCTTTCCAGATGGCACTGTGAGCGTGTAGCACCCCAAATGCATATTTAGAGTCTGTCCATACGTTTATCCTTTTCCTCTTGCCAACTCTAAAGCTCTTGTCAAGGCTGTTACTTCAGCCTTCAGAGCAGAAGCCCCCGCAGGTAATGGCTGTGCTTTGATTACCTCGTCAGTAGCTGCTGCATATCCTTGTCTCACAAAACCGCTTCTGTCGGTGAAGCAGGAATCCTCAGCATCCTCCAGTGATTCCTGCTCTGGCTCCAGCCCATTGGCACAGGCAGTCTCTGTGGTTTCCAAGCAGTTGTGCACTGCTGGCTCAGAGGCGGCTCACTGAGGAAAGATGCTGGGTTCACAGTGAGAATAACCAACCAAAATGCTTTTGTACTGTCCAGAAGGCCCAGGGCTGGGGCTCTCATTGGAGCTCTCTTCTTCAATTCTTCAAATGCCCTCTTTGCCTCACCAGTCCATGTCAGCACAGACTGATCATTTTGCTGTAATTCATACAAAGGTTTTACCAAAGGCCCATCATTATAGATCCATAGTGTGCACTAACCTGTCGTGCCAAGGAAGGTTCTGAGCTCTTTTACCATCTGCAGATCTGGGTGTTCAGCAGATCACTTCCTTTTGTTCTGTTCCAAGTTCCCTTTGTCCTCCCAAGATCTCGAATCCAAGGTAAATCACCTGCAAAAAAGAAGGCATCCTTCAAATCCAGGACGGTAAACTCATTCCTCAGCCTGGTTAATAAAGGGTACAGATTTACCACCCTGTATCTTCACCCATCCTAGTGACAGCCCTCAGATCCTGCCCCAAGCAATAGCTCCTGCTGTCTGACTTTACACCAGCAAGACTGGGATGTTAGAGTCAGATTCACATTCAATTACTGGTCCAAACTCCAGAAAATTATCCGTTATTACTTTTATTCCTTTATGATCTTGTATCCTCCAAAGGTACTGCTTTACCCCGACTGGGCTGGCTCATGCTTTTAACTTATCAGGGCTGCATTGTTGGCCCTGCTGGGCATCCCTGACACCCACACTCCTACATGTTCCTCATTCAGGATTTCCATAATTTCTGGGGATATCACATTGTTCTTCCCAATCTGTGTTAAAGTCAGGCTTAAAATTTCAATCAATTGGTCTTCCTTGACCCCTAGCTCCAATTTTCCTTTGTTGTGTTTAACCTCTGCATTCTGTTGTTCTAATAAGTCTCGCCTGAGTAACGATGTCAGACAACCTGGCTTGTACAAGGATTTATGCATTCCTGCTTGCTTTCCCAGCCTGTATTTAATTGGTTTCAAGGAGCAGCCTTTTCTAGTTGGCCAGTAGCTCCGACTGCTGTTACAATATCAGCATCTACGGGTGATGCTTCTTCATTTAGCAGAGTAAGAGGCACCCGTATCCACCAGAATATTGACCTCTGTACCCTGCTCCCCTAGCTGCAGTGTAACCAGGGGGTCTGCTAGGGTAAATTCCCCTGGTTCCCATCATCCCTGCCGTCAGGGATGGTTCCTCCCCCTCAGCCTGGGGCAGCTCCTCCACCAGTGCCCCATTTCCCTGCAGTTTGCACACTGATTCCTGTCCATTGGGGGGCGAAACCCTTCCTGGGCCCTTCCAGAATCCCCCCCTGCCTCGTCCCTGTGATGCTCCCTGGCTCCCCAGGCCATGCTTTAGCGCTATTCTTCTTCTCAGTTTCTTTCTTTCCTTTCTATCCCTGTTTCTGTACACTCTCCAGGCCTCCTCAATTAATTTATCCAGGTCCATTAATTCCGATGCTTTTAACCTCTGCAGTTCCTTCCTGCTATCCTCAGAGGATTGGCTCAGAAACAGTGACACCAACACCTATTTCCCTCTATCTGATGAGGGACCCAAAAGAGTGTATTTTCTCATGGCAGACCTGAGTTTATTCAAAAATTCAGTAGTGGTTTCAGTCTCTCCCTGTTTGACTGCATATACGGCTGACCAGTTTGCTGCTGGTTAGTGGGATTGCATTCTCTAAACCAAGTTTTATCCACTCTCTGTATTGCTTTAACAGCTGATATTCTGCAGGATCCTTTGGGTTCCATTTAGGATCTTCTAAGGGGAAATACTGTTCAAGCCTTCCCAGCAGGGCACCAGCAATGATTCGTGCCTGCACTTGGGTCTGAGCCTTCCTCAGTACCACCTGCTTTTCTGATTCAGGCATGAAATCCAGCATTATGTCTATATCCCTCCAATCAAGATTTTCATTGGTCCCTTTGGTCCTACAACTTGCATTAGAGGTGCCAGTATTACAGGTTCCTTTGTGCTGCCCGTTCTTGTAGTGATTTGAAATCCCACACCCCCCCCAGCTGCTCCTACCTCCTTTCGAACTGCCTTTGCTCCCTGTTCTTCCTCATCTGAGAATCCCTCCTGCTTCCCAGCCTGCGGAGACGCATCATCTTCTAATCTTTCCTTTCCACCTCCATTTCTCAGACACCTCTCTCCTATGCTGCAAGCTGAGCAACACCTCTTTAACCTCTTCCTGTTAGGCCTCTTCTGATCTTTCTCTAGAGCCAGCACTGAGGGGCCAGTGAACTCTGGAGCCCAGTTAATTCTACATCCTTTCTGCCATTCAGGGTGGTTCCGTAAAGTGAAAAACATATCAGCATATACCACCTTGTCCTATTTCCCTTCTCTTCTCAAAAACAACATGAGCTGCAGTAGGGTGTTATAATCCAGAGTTCCATTAAACGGCCACTTTTCCTGAGATTCCAGCTTATAGAGCGGCCACCACTGGTTACAGTATTTGACCAGAGTTTTCTTGTTCACGTTTCCCCCAGGAGGTCCCCCAACATCCCTCCAACGAGCCAGCACACATCTCAGGGGGCTCTGCTTCACTGCTCCCCCGCTCTGTTTGCCCCCATTATATGCAGTTCAGGCTGGCATACACTTACAAGGATCACTGTTACAAAGATGCCTCAAGCTCCACTGATTATAATTCCGTGTACCATGAAAATCATTTATCCAACTCCCACCAGAAATTACAAGTGAAGCTGTGAAGGTGTTGCTAAAGTTCTGATGGGCCAGTCCCAGAACTTGAAAGCAAAGAATACCTTTGTCAGACGCTCCCTGTCTGCTCCCGCAGCGATCCGATGGAGGCGAGGAGTCCCTGCAGGGGCGCCCGAGGAGTCCTGCTCTCAACGGCTCCTGCAGCCGAGCAGAGGCTGCATCCATTCCCATCTGCAGTGCCCAGCTGACTCAAAGCATCGCAGCGAGGAACTGAGCAGCCAAGTGTTGTTCCCGTTAGGCAGGTATTCTTTGTTAGCGGGGCTGGGAAGCACTGGGGATAATTCCACCAGAAGTGCTTCTGAGATTCCACGAGACCCGAGCTCGTTATATTCCCGCAGGTCCTGCATATTCATAATGCCTGCACGAGGTAATTAACGTATGCACGCCTCTCAAGTAATGAGCGATAAAGAGTTCTTGTATTTCATGGGCTCTGCAGCCACCTGGTGTCCGTTTAGCACCACGACAGCCCGCTCAGCAGTGCGTTTACTTCCTCCAGCGGGCTTCCTCGCTCGCCCTCTAGATGAACTTTCTTCGTTGTTGTATGCTCAGGAAGGGAATGCCTATTAGAAGTAATTTGGGTACCAAAATCAGCCATTATTTCTGAACATCTGCCGGTTCTGGGATAGAGAGAAGTTGGGCATCGTGTCTTTCAGTGATACGGGGAGATAAGGAGGACAAGGCAAGTGTCATGACATCTGCCTGCTGCATTCCAAGCTGCTCCTGTAATGGGGCACTTCGACCTTGTGTGGAGGCCCTGGCTTCTCTGATGCATGAGAAGCCCACTTGTGGCCTTTTATTATTGTGTGGGAGTCCAACGTTTCTGCATTAGAACAGTCTCTGCTGCCATAGTTCTTTTCAGGGCTCTCTGATAGTTCTCATCACTTGTCTTCTAGGTGAACCTTTCCCAGGAACGCATGCTCAATGCGTGGCCAAAGTAATTTGTAGTCACAGAGGTTAGGTAGATGGAGCAGGTTTACAGGCACTGCAGCTCCTGTCTGTCCAGCCTTACTGATATTTGGTGCTGGGCAGACAAGACCCGAGTAATAGGGAATTGGAGAAGTTAAATAATGAGTATAATAATAATAATGAGTATATAAGCTAGCAACGACTGCTGTGTGGCCAGCATGAAAAGATGTTACACACATTGCAAGAATATCCTGCAGAAGTTGAAAGGACAAGTGGTGAAATGCCTTAGGGAATGTCTGAAGAAGGTATTGAGGAAGGCCTGGCACCCGTCCTTGGCACTCTTTCTTTAACAAAGACTGAAGATAACACACGAATTAACAAGTAATTAACAAATGTTAACCTTCAGTAAGACTGTGAACCTGGAGTACCCAGCCGATGGGGAGGGGATGTGGGAAATGGAGTGTGGTTTCTGCATTAGATATTAAAAAGGGCAATTGATCTGAAGAAGTAGGACATGATGTATTTGTATTCTGTAACTTACCCTTAGAAATAGGTGATGTAAAAAGTAGGAGTACTGCATATGTTAGTAGCATATTTTAGAAGCATAGTTGCTGAATTACGTGATTAATTCTCTCTTGCAAAACTGCAGGTTCCAAACAAATTGGGTACAGTATTAGGGACTAGAAAACATACTGTAGGGTTGTTCTGTTGGGATAGGAGACTGCCAGCAAAAGAAAAACAGATGTAACAAACATCAAAGAATCCAGGGCCTCTGCACAACACCGGACTGTCTCACTCTGTGGGAAGAATGGGATGCAACAGGCAGGCATCAAGATACTCCCTATCCTCCTTCTGAGCTTATCTCTGTGCAAGGACGAGCAGATGTCCAGAAACAGTGACCAAGTGTGGAGTGAGTAAGTGTTAGGAGTTAATTAAATAATTAGAGGTTTATGCTCAGCCAGCAAAGTTTCATGTTTCTCCAGTATCCGTATGTTTAGTTGAGCGTCAGGAAGGTTGTGAGCTGAAGTACTCAGCCAATGAGGAACCAGGGGAGGAGATAAGCGTGGAGTAATAGTGAATAAAAGATGTAACACTGTTTTCTGCGTGCTCTCCTGCTCGCAGGAAGCCCGCCATTGCAATTGCAAGTAAAATCTGCTTTATCAGAAACACCGTCCTGATAAATTATTTGAATATTTCCAACATGTCCCACTTTGGTTAAGGCAGAATTGGTACAGGTTGGTTTGCTTACCAACCACTCGTTACCTGCAGGGGTACTGCCAGCCCTCACAGCATGCTTTGTCTGTCCCCAGGCTCCGGATGAAGCCGCTCTGACCGCACTGGCACAGACCCTGCAGCAGCACAGCATTGACCACGAGGTATGGACAGAGCAGCCTGAGAACATCCCCAGCTGCCTGGCGCTCAGACCCTACCCAAAGGACCAAGTGCACCCACACCTGAAGAAGTTCAAGTTGCTGAAGTGATCCCTGATTTCCTGCACGCCCTCCTCCTGTGCCACTGTTTCGCTTGCCTCTGGGTGGAAGCATCGTGCTAATGTCTGTCAGCCTTCTTGTGCAGTAGCAGTTAACAAGTGTAAGATCTTTGCTGGAGAGGATTAAAGATTCTTTGCAACGTGTGACTGTGAGTTATATGGAGTCGCTGTGTCTGTATGCAGTCAGTCTGCTTGTGCATCTCCACCCTGCCAGAGCAGGCACTTCTAGGGGATGCCACACTCAAAAGTACTGCTGGTGCTTCTTAGGATTTACACTTCCATGAGCACATCTTGCTTTGTCTGACATTAGCTTGAATTTCATAGAATCATAACATCACAGAATCATAGAATGGCCTGGGTTGCAAAGGCCCACAATGCTCATCCAGTTCCAACCCCCTGCTGTGTGCAGGTCGCCAACCAGCAGACCAGGCTGCCCAGAGCCACATCCAGCCTGGCCTCGAATGCCTGCAGGGATGGGGCATCCACAGCCTCCTTGGGCAACCTGTTCCAGTGCCTCACCACCCTCTGGGGGAAAAACTTCCTCCTAAGATCCAACCTAAACCTCCCCTGTCTCATTTAACATGAATTTAACATGATCCCTCCTGCTTTGGTGCTGGTTGGACTGTGATGAAGTGTTCTCCCATGGCTCTGACATTTTAGAACTGTTTTCCCCCCCAACCCCATGGGGAGCACACAGATGTGACCATGAGCTGCCACCATCAACAACACCGCCATCCCAGGCTGTGGCACTTTGGTTGCAGTCACTGTGACACGGTGACCCTACAGCAGCTGGAACCCATGGCTCACTCCAACCAGAGCTGTTTGTCTTTGTACAGAACCATGTGGCAAATCCCTGCCAAGAGCCTTGTGCGAACAGCAGACGGCAGCATCAGCCAGCAAGCTGGGACTCAGCGCAGCCCTCATCCTGCTGATCCCTGCCTCGTTCCAATAAAGTGTAAGAAAGAAAAGCGAGGGCAGGACTGGGAGAACCCCAGCAGCTGTGATGCTCTTCCCTACCCGTTGCTTCCAGCACTCAACGTGGCAGAAAACCACCAGCAAGGAGGTGCAGCACCCAAATACCCAAATTCTGCCCCTCCAAAATTCTAAAGCACCCCAAAACATTTGGGGCTGGTTGGGAGGAACAAACATTTTAGGGTTTGGGGGCTGGTTGTGAGGAACAAACATTGTAGTTTGGGGGCTGGTTGGGAGCAACAGACACTGCAGGGCATTTAGGTTGGTTGGAAGGACCCCAGACGTTATAAGGATTTTTGGTTGATTGGGAGGAACAAACATTGTAAGGCCTTTGGGTTAGCTCGAAGGACCCAAACATTGTAGGGTTTTTGGGCTGGCTGGGAAGAACAAACCAGCTTTGGGGCTGGTTGGGAGGATCCAAACACTGCGTAGGGTTTGGGGCTGGTTGAGAGGAACAAACATTGTAGGGCCTGGGGGTTGGTTGGGAGCAACAGGGCATTTGAGTTGGCTAGGAGAACCCAAACACTTAGGGTTCTTGTGCTGGTTGGAAGGACCCAAACATTGTAGTGTGGGGGCCTACAATCGGCTGTGGAGCCAATTGGGAGGACCCAAACACTGTAGGGTGTCAGGGCTGGTTGGGAGAACCCAAGCAAGGTAGGTTTTTTTGTGCTGGTTGGAAGAACCCGAACACCGTAGGGCTCTGGAGCCAACTGGGAGGACCCAAACACTGCAGGGTGTCAGGACTGGATGGAAGGACTCAAACACTGTAGGGTTTTTGAGCTACTTGGGAGGACCCAAACCTGGTAGGGCTTTGGGGCCGGTTGGGAGGCCCCACCACCTCTGGGTGGTGCCCAGTGATGGGCCCAAAGCACGATGCTTTACGGCCAGGACCCTCACCCCACTGTGACCCCTCCGTGGCTCAGCCCCATCACCCCAGCGCCCATCAGCAGCGCCTTTCTCCAGGGATGCGTCGGCACAGAGACAACGAAACGTCAGCTGGCAACTCCGGTTCTTTTGTCTTTTCTTTTTTTTTCTCTTTTTTTTTTTCTTTTTCTTTTGTCATCTTTAACTCTTGCAAATGTCAATCAACAAAGCTACACATTTGTTTTCCACACACCAGCGCGATTGGAGAGAGAGAGAGGGAGAAAAAAACCCCATCGCCCCCCACTCTCATAAAAGTCAGCAGTGAATATTAAAAGCGACCCCCAACTAAAAGAGAAGAAAACAAATTTATACAGAGCGCAGAGCTATTTACAGTGACAGGCTCGAGGGAAAAAAAATAAGCTATCTCCCGACAGAGAATTCAATTATTATTATTATTTTATTATTATTATTTTAAATAGTTTAAGCTACCTCAGCTGTTAAACACAATCAAAGCAGAAAGAACCGACTGCTTAATTTTATTTAATATTTAATCAGAAAATTTTATCTACAATAATTGACAGAGCCCTCCCCCCGGCCGGCCCCCTAAAAATTGTTGCGGTTTTTTTGCCCAAAACTGTTTTTTTTTTTTTTTTTTTTTTGGCCTTTTTTTCCTTTTTTTTCTCTTTTTTGCCTATTAGTTTTTCCCCCCCATTGCAATATACACATCATCGCCCCCCTGTTCCGCCGGGGCGCCCGAAACCAGCATAAAACATGGGAAAAAAAAACAAAAAAACAAAACAAAAAGCCAACAGTGGGTCAAAATACTCTTTGCTTTTTGTAGGTTGCTTCTTCTTTTTTTTTTTTTTTTTTTTTGGTCTTTTTTTTCTTTTTCTTTAAAACCGACAAACTCACGATTGCTAGAAAAAGCTGATTGTACGCACAAGCGGGTCGGGGTGGAAGGGAGAGAAGGTTTGTTGTTGAAGCGTGTGTGACTCAACCCGGCCTTGTTTGCAGAAATCCAACGTCCATCCCTATCTGTGCCCCGTGCCGAGACGTCAGCAGTGACAGATCCAGCTGCAACTGAGCTTGCTCTTCCTCCTCCTCGTCCTCCTGCGCTGCCGCCGCAGTCCTCCAGCTGCCTTCTCCCCCTCCCCTCCCGCCTCCCCGAGAAACCTCCGTCCACGTTAAGAAGCCAGCGAACTGATTACAAAAATAAGGATCATCTCTACGTTTGGCTCAATGAAACCGACCGTCCCGCCTCGTCGCGTCGCCAACGCCCAACGCTTTGTGGTTGGTTTTGGGGTTGTTTTTTTTTTTTTTTTTTCCCTCCTCATTTTTTTTTTTTTAAAAAAAAAGCAAATGAACAGA